TTAGGTTAGATTTTTTGAGAAAATATTTTTTCCTTCTTTATTGTGTTTTTATTGGAAAAATATTGTTTCCATTATTTCACGTGATTTTTTATTTTGTTTTCATCTTTGTGGTATTTGTTTTCTCCATATTAGTCAATTGAATAAAATACGCGATTCCTCTGCTAATTAATTCTATGTCTTTTATCTTGTTGTTTGTTTGCGATTATATACTTTATATTTTATCATATATATTATCTCGATGCTTTTTATTTTCTAACATACACTCATTGGCTAATTTGGGATGTTGTTTGCACTTTTCAAAAGCTAGCTTCCTTTAGAAATTGACATCCACATAAAAGCCACATTCTCAAATCTCAACCAAGTGACTTCTATGGAACTCATTTTTCAGTCCAAGTAGGCACATAGATTTTATCACATCATGGAATGCCAAACTAGTTGTACACAATGGGTGTACAACTAGTTTAATTCACACTCTAACATGCCATGTAACCAATTGAGAAAAAAGTTCACAAATGCAAACCCTTGTTTGGGTTCAATTTTTCAAAAAATACATTTTTTCAAAATATAATTTCAATCACATTCTTCCATAAAATAATGTTACACGTAAATACAAATTTTTTTCTTATTTTTTAACCATGCATTTTCTAAAAAAATACCATTTTAAGCCATATTTTCTTAAAAAGAAAAAAAAAAAAAACTCATTTTTTNCCATATTTTCTTAAAAAGAAAAAAAAAAAAAAAAACTCATTTTAATGGACCCATGCAGGGGGCTGAAAGATTTTGTTTATATGTGGACCTGTCACCTGTAGAATATCTTTGTTCCCTTTTGGTTTGACCAGATTTTATTCCCCCTTGTTGTTTTCTGAAAGAAATAAAGTGGAGCAATTTGCAATTTGAACTTTGATATACCTATTGACACGTCTCGAAACCAATCCCACTCGGCTTTGCAGTATAAGAGACTGGTTTATACGAAGTCTTCAGTTTCCCCACAGATTGATTCAAGAATAAAAGGGACACATATGTTCACTTGGACTGTACTAGGAAATATCATATCGATGTCTCTGTGTGTGTAAGTTGAGATGCACATAGCTATGTAAATTGGGTTAGGCTGCTTGGATTATAATGGGCTCGAGATGGTCGTGGTCTACTTATGAGCCTCGGTTTGTGGTGGACCATTTTTCACGACCGGAAATGTAAAATGAGATATATGTGGTGTGGTGGTGTCAAAATGGGTTGTCAATTGGGTTGCAACTTGCATGTAGGCTCGAGATGGACCAGATGGTAGTTGAAGGGTTATTCAAAGATTTTGTTTTATCTAGATTTACTTATTTTTGTACTTTTCCACCAGTTTCAGGAAAAAGATTTTCTGCATGGATTTGATTTATATTCAGTAAAAAATTTCTTGCCACTTGAATTCTAGATCTAGAAATGTTTGACAAAACAACAGCCCTGAAAACTCTCTCTCTTTTTATGGATGCATCACTAAATTTGGAAAATTGTACGTAAGGGGCGTGTGAAATTAATCGACGCTCTAGATTTTTAAAAGTCGAAAAATAGTATAATTTGAATTTAAAAGTATTTAACTACCTGTTCACACGTGTTTTCTTAGATCTCGCCTTAAGGACAATGAGTTCGAAAACTTTTCTATACTTCATGGACGCATAATTGAATTTGGAAGATTGTACACGAGTGTGTGACTTTAATTGCTTAGGGTTAATAGACAGTTCAAATAGTGACTGTTCTTCAGATGTACATAAGGTGCTGCTCTGACGTAGGACAACTATCTTTGCAATTTGAAGAAGTGCTGGACAGAAAATTGACAAAAAAAGACTGCGCTGGGGATAATTTTGGCATTTGTTGCGACGGTGTCGGAATGGGTTGAAATTAGGCTGGTTGATTGGAAACGGCCCGAAAAATTGGACTCGGGGCATAGACCCGAGATCTCGGAATTTTAGCCAAATTCCTTCGTTTAGGCCTCCGAATAATTAATTTTCCGTATTTTCCATTTTGAATTTTTGCTATTTTTGGAACATTTTACTATTCTATGTTTTTAGGGTTTCTTGTAACGCCTATTTAAAGGCCTTTTGAACGTTTCCGGCATTATTATTGATTGCATACAAGTTTCGTTCTTGGAGAATTCCAGTTTTCCTATTTTCAAGATTTACGCTGGTAAATCTTTTACTTCCGTTCTGCATCATGCTCTTTAGAATTGGTATCATTTTTATTTGTTTCTGTATTTTAATATATTTGTTTAAGCACGCTTTTTAAATTTTTGTTTGTGCAGTTGGAAAATAATGAAAAAGATAGGAAAATCGTGTGCCCCAACACGATCATGTACTCGACATGTTAAGATTCCGACTTGTTGAAAAATGCAAATAGGGCCGGCTGCTCACACCGCGGTGGACTCAAGTTACGGATCAAATTAATTTACACCTAAAATTATCATTGATGAGTGAGGAAACCAATTGATTTGTTGCACCTAAATTGATGGACAATATATCTAATTTTACTAGTGCAATTTTGACTACTTATTCTTTCAACTTAACTCCATGAATTTGCTTTTTTCTGAGTCTCCAAAGAAAAATCGAATATTGGATTCTTCATTTGCTTTGCTGGATTCACAAAAATATGACTTTCTTACTTTATTTTAGCTCAGTTTCTCAGACACAGCCATCAAAAGGGGCCCTCCAAAATTAAAATGAATATAAAATAAAAATGTTTGTGGAAAATAAATAATAATAATAAATCTTCTCAATCACTTCCAAAATCTCGACCATAATTTTCTTCCACCTTTTGTGGCGTGTCAAATGGGCAGGTAAAAGTACTTTTCATAATAATAATGTTGTTTTAAGAATGAAAAAGGAAAATTTTAAGAAAAAAATCTTTGAAATTTTCATGTAATTTTATTGAAAATATATCATCCAATTATTCTTTACAAATTTACTTAATCTCTACACCATCTTTTGTAGTGACTTTTTAAAATTGTACGATTATTTAATTATTGCAGATTATTTTTATTTATAGAGCGTAACCTTAATATCGAGTATTGCACTTTGTAAAGCGACACAAATCACACTGTGAAATCGTCAATACTTCTTATTATCAAATCGATTGAATGATATATCTATCTGATAGTTTTTTAATTGAAAAGGGCATGTTCTTTTTTGGTAAATCTCATAAATAGTTCTTTAACCAAATAAATGCAAAATATTTTAAAAACATAATCATTGGACTAACTTCGTCTATGCAACGTGTGGGATGTGTCTAAGAGATTTGCTTTTTAATACATATCTAATTACCATTAATTATATTACAATTACATTTAGAGCATAATTACGAAGCGTTGTGATCACTAATAGCAATTATTTGGAGTAGAATTTACGTTTATTCTAGAAGCTCTATATATTTTGAACATGCAACATTATTAAGGAGACAAGATATTTAATTTGGTTTAGGTTTCTCTAATTATTAATTTGAACATTTAGGACGTGGTTGGTACGAAGACAACGTTTGAGAATGTCAATTTTCTTAAGATTCGTTATCCGTGAGTGCTGTATTGCAAAATAAGTAGTACTAGATAACACTACGCAAAGAAAAAAATAAAACTTTAATTTTTTATTTTGTTGATACTCAGGTGTCCACGTTCGGCGACTAATCATGGAGTCTACGCCTTGGCCCCTCAAGACGCAGACCAGGTAGAGTTGGGGATGAAGAAGAAGATAATTGTATTTTAGTGGTGGCAGCGGCGACACGTGATGGGCTTCTGTTTGATGGAGGTGGATTGAGGTGGAAAATTAATGAATTTTCACTATGCGTTTTTTTATTTATTTTATTTTCAAACATTGTTTGCTACAGTAAACAATCTCCACCAAACAATGTTTACTGTAAGTTGCAATGTTTAATAATGTTGAATGTTGTATAATTTGTTAAGAATAAATAGTTTATTATTGTTATTTTCATCTAAAATTTTCTTACACTAACTCGTTTTGACTTAGAGCTTGTTTGAGTGTCATTTTTGAATAGTGTATTGATGTAAAACGTGTGGTTAAAAAATAAAAAAAAATTGAATTTACGTGTAATATTATTTTATTGAAAAATGTGTGGTCGAAGTGAGATCAAAACACTATTCAGGGGTTCAAACAAGGGATTAATATGTTTTGTTAACTCGAGCAATCAACCTTGATATAGATTCAACATGATCCATCAACGGTCTATTCAATCCACATCATCGACAAACAGAACTACATTATTGTTTTTGCCAAAAAATTAGCATCGATATGGTCTACAAACACAATAAACCTTATAGGCTATCGTTTCTATTTCGAAAGTCATTCTAATTTTATAAGAAGTCAACATTTACGCTAATCAATAATTGACGACGGCAAGACAAATAATGCAATGTCCATACTAATTACTGTAAGCCATTTCATATTTTTATCAACCTTAAGTCCAAATTTTCCTTTGTAGCTTTGTATTATTGTCGCCATAGGCAGGCAATGAGTTTCTGCCACAAGTCTACATAATGTCCAATTTCAATGTGTTCATATCTCTTTTGAATTAAAGAAAAAGATTTTGTAATTTAATTCCAACAACTCTTCTAGATTTTTAGTCAATGGACAACACCAGAAAGAATTACACTTTGGCAGCATGACATCCATAAAAAAGATTCACACAAATTAATTTAAATTAAACAAAGATTAAACCCTGTATTAGAGTTTCTAACCTATGCTAATTTATAAAAAAATAAAACTTAAAACAAGCTTAATGGTCTTTTCTTGATGAGCAAAAGAACGGAGACGAAAACTGAAATCTTTCTTCTTAAAAAAGGACGATTTATTTGTTACAAGAAATACATGTAAAGCATTACTCAATTTCCGTTTACTTTAATGGAGATACTAAAGGCACAAAAATATATGAAAAAAGATAATACTCTCCGTTCGCCGGAGAACAAAATTTGCCGTAAGAAATGGCAAGCGGCGACGGAGAACGTGACTGATTTATCAAAGTGTCGTTAATGCATCTGCAAAAGCAAAATCGCCGAAATCGTTGAAATAATCGTCGACTTCTTTGAATGAATCCTTAAAATCCCCAAAACAAGCGACTTCAAAGCTGTTGTCATCGTAAGCCGGAATTTCATTAACACTTCCAAAATCATCGGGAAAGTCGAAAAGTGTCTGGTCTGGAGTTTGGAAATTGAATAAATTATCCAAAAATTGAGTGTCCATTGGCAAATAGTCGTTATAACTGTCTGGTATTATACTTGTTTCGCCGTGAAATTCTTCCGGGTCCTGAACCGGGTCACGGCAGGATCCGGATTCGTAACTCTGTTGATTCTGTACATCCAAGTAATCAAGAACTGGGCACTCGCCGGAGGCAGATGGTTCACTAGATTGGGTACTTGTGAACCTGAGAACGGAGGTCGGAGAAGAAACTTTATGTAAGTCTTTATCAGATTCGTAGCCGGAAACTGAAGTCACATGATTCTCCGGCTTCTCCTCTACGACCGCCGGATTTTTGAAGTTGGTTAAAGCGTCCGGTCCCCGGAGTTTAATCGCAGCGTTGTCATACACAATAGCAGCTTCTTCAGCAGTGTCATAAGTACCCAACCAAAGCCGGACTTTTCGGGCCGGGTCTCTTATCTCGGCTGCCCATTTACCCCACGGCCGCTGCCGGACTCCCCTGAACTTCCGAGCACCACCACCAGCCGCCTTCACCTTCGGTGGCTTCTGCTTGACCTGAAGCTTACTAGTAATGCCATGGACATGGGTTTTGCTAGCTTTTTCGATACTGATTTCTTGAATGTATTTCTTAACACGCTGCCTTCCAAAAACCTCATCGCCTTCATCGCCGGATGAGTCTGTTGCATCCGGGTCAGTTACCGTTACCCGAATATTTCTGCGAACAATAGATTTCTGCGGGTTTTGAGAGGAAATTATGGGGTTTAGATTCGAGGTTTTAGTGAGTTTTTTGGTAATAATTCTGTGCTCGGTGAATTTCACCGGCCATAACACGCTGTTCTCCATTGACATCTTCAAGATTCAAACTCTCGGGCTACTGCCTTGAGATTTCTTCTTCTTCTATTCACAATGAAAACATGTCATCCACTCGTAAAAAGCCTGCTTTATGAGTTTGTAAACAAGGGATTCAAAGGGAAAACCCCAAAGCAAAAATCCCAGATTCACAAGAACAAAGGACAAGAACAGAGCCTTTTAAGAAAGTGAACTTCCGAGGGTAAAAAAAAGGTGGTATATATAAGGGCAGAAGGGGGTTCAAAGTTCAAACACGGATCAGTAAAAAGGAAAGAAAAAAAGAATAATTCCAAGAAAAATTTAGGGAAAGTATTGGAAATAAAAACACTCACTCACTCACTAGTCACTACCAAAGGAAGGAAAAATTGCTGAAAGGAAAGAAAACTGCGCAAACGGTGTCTTTAACGAAGAGGAAAATGGGCCATCTGTGTTTTTATTTATTTTTCCATTTTTTGGTTTAAACTTTTTTTTGGTAAGAAATTAAAAGCTATCTTAAACTAGATTCTTGAATATCACAATATCAATGTGGGGAAGTCTTTCTTCTTTGTGAGGGTGGGATCCCTTGAATTTTTACTAAAAATAAGAATACATGGTTCTTTTGTGGAAAATTTTCACTGGAGGCTAACTAACTTATAGATTCATTTCATGTTAGCCATTCAACTTCGATTTATTTCGTTTGACCTGTACATTGGCCGCTAAGATGTCGTATTGTCAAATACCTTGCCTCTTATGTTTAAATCATGTATTCAATATTACCAAATGATAAGTTCATAGGACTTGTTCCATCAACCACAAAATTTATTGGTCAAGTCACGACTTACATCAATTAGGTCAGGATTCTCACGATTTTCATAACAGTTACAGACTAAATAGTAAAATTAAAACAAAAATAAAAGTTGAACCATCAAGCTACAAGAAGTTGAATTAAGTGAGCAATTGATTTGCGAAATAGATATTGCATTTAGAGCTTTCAATTGATTTGTGTCATTGTTTGGTGTTTGCAGGACTATGCGATCTAGCAGAGGTATGAGGTGAAAAGTAATGAGAAGTGTGGCTCATGTATAACTAGACTAACTCAAATTTACATTTTTTTCATTTTTAAATGGTTCAAAACTTTTTTATGATGGTTTTGTTTGGTTCAAAACCATATAGTTGACGGGTGTGCCACCTAGTCGACAGTTACAAGACAATTTCAATTTGTTTAACAATTTGACCATTTTAACTTATCGTTCTACCCGCACCAAAATTTATAAGTTGGGAATCAAGCTATCAAGAAATAATAAGGACGACATTCCAACCCACGAAAATGGATATGGACCTTTCTTAGAACAGAATATAAAGAAGATATTGGATTAAATTTTGAAATATCTCTTTGGGGTAGATAAATTCCAGCAGCGGATCGCCGCATTTCATTAGTAGGTACTATGTGGGCCCAGTTATGAAAGTTGGTCCACTGAAAAAAGATCAAGTGGTGCTAAATCAGTGCTCAATTTTCCATCTCGATTAACGTGCGGTCGACCACGTGAGGCCCAGGACATGCCCGGCCCAGGCAAAATTCGGTCAAATTTAAAGGAGATTTTTAACAGCTCACTTGTTTGACCAAAGTTTAATGGACAACAAATTAATTATTTTTAAATAGATTAACTTACCCGTAGTAAATCACCTTCCACTCCGAATCACTGACATCTATTCTTCATGATTTTTCATTATAACCCCAGATTGTGAAAGATTCAAAACAATGAGTCTCTTGATAAAGCATAAAGGATTCAACCATGGTTCAATAACATCTCTCTACAGCCTCCATAGGAACTTTAGAATCTCAACCCGTTCTTGATTATTCTCGTATTCCCAAGGCCTCGTATGAGTGTTTGGACAAAATCTAATACCAAAATGTTGTTAGAGATTGAAATATCGCGAAAATTACAGAGAAAGTACGAACTTTCTATATAGTAACAAATACCTGATAAATGTATTGCTTCTAGGCCAGGCCCAAAAATAGGGCGCCGATGTCAGCTCGCCTCCAATTGCAGGGTGCCACATTGATGCCCTGTTTTTGGGCCTAGCTTTGAGCTTGATCCAGAAGCACGGCTCTTCCGGATAATATGAATAGATCTCACAAGATCAGTGAGTTTTTGACTCAAGAATGGTTAGATTTATAGCATGTCTGGCATTGATTTTAAACAGAATTTCAGCCGTTAAACTACCAAAAAAAAAAAAACAATAATCTGATCGTTTCAACCGTCATTTTTTACCATTTCACTCACCGGTGGGACCTAGCTTCCTTGCAAACAGTCAAATAATCAATTATGAAAATCAATGCCAGACATGCGCTTAGCATATTCCAACATATACATTTTAATTCCAAGAGCTATGATACCATTGAAATGCCCAAGAACAGAATATTTAATCACTTTCGCTAACATTCAATTGTAAATAGAACAACAAAATGCAAAAAAGTAAATATTGAAAAAACATATATGCTTCATCTTAAGGCAGACATTTAAGCCGAAGCCTAATACGCTCTTTGAGCATCCACCAAGGGGATAAAGCTCAAGCACTATGAATCAATCAAAAGTGAAAATTTTTGTAGTATCAAGATTGTTTATGATCCCAATTGTGAAGCAAATACTATCAGCATGTCCAAACTTGTTAACAGGCGATTTTCCATTTTCCCAAGGCAAATTTTGGACACCTGTTTAGTCCAATTAAAGGACTTAAATGACAGAAAAATGAATCATACAAACTTTGGAAGAAAAAAGGTTGTCCCTTGTACAAACCAAAACATGGTTAACCCATGGCGTACTTCTGAGTCCAGCTCCTTGCAGTGGTCTCATACTTGTTCCTGTCTGTCTTGTACATGTGAGCAATCTCGGGCACCAAAGGGTCATCAGGGTTTGGGTCCGTTAACAAAGAACAAATTGAAAGCAGCACCTAAAATAGGAAACCGAAAACACAACAATTTTAGCACCTGTCTATTCAATCATGAAGTCCGTCAATATCAAGTTGTGCAAATTAGGAACACTGTGTACACTGATAGCTTGTTTGGTAGGATGGTGGATGGAACACTACTCGTATATATGAGAAGAAAAAACAGTTATCACATACCAAACAAGCTCGGAAGTTAAAGAACAAATTACTTGTGTCTACATAAAAAGTCAAACCCAATGGTCTACAGGATCAAAGCACTCAAGGGCTTTAGCCTCTGTTTGGCTTTCATTTTATTTTACTAAAATTTTACTTTTCAAGAAATGAGTGATACATTACTTGGTAGTACTAGTGGGTCCTACAAAATGTGTGGTTAAAATTAACGACTGACTTTGAAAAGTAATGTTTTAGCAAAGAAATAAAAAATGAAACCCAAAAAGAGGCTAACTATCTGTAAGGAAGTTGTCGTATAGCCTTATTAGGGTGGAATTGGATTATAAAAGGTGATCTGTCGAATTTTCACAGGACTTCACCACTCTAGAATTATAGTGTTTTAGTAAAAACAGAGGTGAATTCTGATCTAGAAGAGAGGGATATTCCATAGATGCAACAAACCTTGGAAATAGTTAAGGCAGGGCTCCACTGCTCCTTCAAAATGTCAAGGCATATGCTTCCATTGCTATTTATATTTGGGTGAAAAACTTTTGTTTTAAATGCAACCTGCAAAATTCATTAAGATAAAAGTGTGAGAAATGCCAAATTCCATTCCTATGTATATTGTAGCAGGGATCTTGAGAAATTGAATCATTGCAAGTGCAAAGTGAAATGATTGTACACTGAACAAGCCACAGAGTTAGAACTCCGACGCAATGATTTATTTTTCAAACAGCAGAAGAACGGAAAATCCAATAAAAGAGTACAAATGTACCAGATAGTATTAAGGATGAAAAACATGTTTTAATCTTGTTCATTATCGTGTAATGTGCACCAAACATGCATTTAGAATACGTGACACACCTTAGGTGGCTTGAACGGGTAATCCGGAGGAAAATGGATAGTAACTAGAAAAACACCACCGGTGTAAGGACTATCTGGAGGGCCCATGATAGTAGCTTGCCAGTGAAACATGTCCTCAGCAACAGGTCCTGAGATATAAGCAAAGTAGGAAAGCACGCAAGTCAAGCAAAATTCAACATAGAGTTGCATTCTAAAACTAAGCCCCTTATGAAAAGGTAAATTATATTCGTGAATATGACCATTTTTTCCAAAAATGAATCATTTATACATGGTTTCAAATTAGAAGGAACATGTATATAAAAGGATACAGAATCAAGAAAGGCAAAACTGGAATAAAAAATTGTAATTTTCAATAAGATTGTTCACTAGTTAAGGAAAGGAAACATACAGAAGGAAAAACTGGAATTCTTTGGTCACTTTGGGCACCAAACAATTGCTGGTCCAGTCTTTTCCATCATATTTCTACTCTTATTAAAAGAAACGAACGAGGTCAAGATGAAAACTCAATTGCAGAAATTCATGTGATGGTTTACAGTAGGCATAACTATTTGTCTCTCTAAGTGGCTATATTTGTTCAATCGTGTAACTATCTCGAAGGATGATATCCATAAATAGATTCTACATGTAATTTCACATTCACGTTTTCAGCTTAAAAAGAGAAATCTTCAGTTTTTGCTTTATAAAAAAAAAGCGATTACGGCAAAATAGCAGAATTAGTTACCTTGATTATAAATCACAGCTAGCTAAGCCAGTAAGCTTGGGTCACTACATAAATCATTCTTCACCACTCGTCTGTTCATTGCTACGTCTACTGGAAAATCTAAAGTAACTATATCCTTAACAATTGTACCCAACAACAATGACCCAAATTCATTTTGGCCTATCCCTCCCTCTTCGAACTTACACTAAGTGGGTGGATGCAAATCCATTGCCTTGACTATCTCAAATTTGGAAAACTATTCATATAAAAGAATCTAAAACAGAGCCTAAATCATACTTGAAAAATAGTGACAATCCAATCTATACAGGTACATTTTCTTGATAAAATCAAGGAGGGG